AAAACACTTTGGAATTCCTGAGTGATAGCCAGAAGCCAGAATGCCAATTTGGCAAGAGTGCTACCAGGTGCTGAGTCTTGGGCCTGAGCATTCCTCAGAATAACAGGTAGATCATAAATGTTTATTTCCCACTTTGAGAGCAAATGAGTACTTAAGTCTTATGTGCATTTTAATAGATTGAATACTATTTTATGATAAACACCTAATATAAGCTAATCCAGTTCAACATGGATTTATATTTGATCAAAATCCTGAAATAATTTTCTTCTCAATGTGTGCTAACCTCTTCCTCAACTTTTTATATTATCTCTTAAAAAATAATCAGAATTAGAAGATAAAATAAAACAATCAGTTATTTATTTTAGAAATACTGGGTCTAGGGACTTCCCTGGTGGTCCAGTGGTTAAGACTTTGTGCTTCCACTGCAGGGGGCATGGCTTAATCCCTGGTTGGGGAACTAAGATCCCACATGCCAGCATGGCATGGCCAAAAAAAAAAAAATAGAAATACTGGGTCTGAAGACTGATTAATTTGTTTTATTGCTAAATCTTTGCTTCCCAATAAAGTAGCTTTTTGCTTACTAAACCCAAAGGCTTAAGAATCTCTTCCAAGAGTGAGAAATGCGGTAAGTTGGTTCTGTCCTCCCTGCACCCCCTTCTCTCCATGCACATGTGTGCATATGCACACACAAGTGCAGAGGAGGAAAGGTGCCGACAAGGAAGGAGGTCCAGAGACCAGGATTACTCTAAGATTCTTATATTTAAAAATCTTTCATCAATCGTTTTATCTAAATAAATAGTCACTTGGTTTAACAAGCCATCCTTAGAGCATCCATTGTACTTACGCCCCTTCCTCAAGAATCTTTCATACTTAAATATTTAATAATTACTTTAATCATATAAACATCACAGTACCCTCAATGATCTTTCTTTTGGAGTTTTGATTTTTGTGGGAAGGGAGACTGGACGGAGCAACTAGGATGGGAGAATCTAGACGGCCAAATGGCAGCATTAAGCCTCTAGGTATCTTGAGAGCTGGGAAAGAAGACTGGAGGTGCGTTAGAAAAGGAGGCAGAAGAGCAACAAGAACGCACTTCCTGCTCCTGAACATTGGCAGTTCCCTGGCGGCAGTGCTTGTCCTCGCCTTTCACTCTTCACCCCAGTCAGTCCTGGCCCTCTGGGTCTTGTGGAGGCTGGGAAAGGACTGCAGGGTTGAGGGTGGTAGGCTGGTTAATTTTGACCGAGAATTAGAGGCTAAAGTAGAGGCAACGTTTGCCTCATTGAACCAACTCTGTTTTCCCAATTCACTGCTATTCCTTCTTTTTTTTCCTCTAAGTTGTTGTCCTTTTATTTATTCCCAGTCTTTCATTCATACATAGGTGGGCATACCTTTTTTCTCTCCTTCCCCATTAAATCCATTCTTCTGGTTTAAAGTTCTTAAAAGAAAGAAAAAAAAAACCTTACCCTCCCTACCCACCAAAATATCTTTCTATATCTTATTCCTTTCCTGCCAAACTTATTAAAAGAATACATATGCTGTCATCTCTTCTTCAGCACACACTTACTCCTTAACTGGGAGTTTTTAGCCTGTGTTCTGTGGTCCCCCAAAGGGTCCATGGATAGAATTTGGGCATTCTGTGATGTTGGGTGGGAAAAAAATTTATGTATTTATATTCATATCCTCTGATTGAAATTTCCTTCAATTATGAATGTAAGCAACAAGTCCAATTTTAATAACAGCATATATGACTGTGTCATCCATAGAAATCATAAATGTTTCCCTATCATGTTACAGTTGAAGTAAATACTCTGAAATATCATTTTTACTTTTAATTACTTCAAAATCATGGTAGTTATTAGGTCTGCTGCTACATCTTATTTTAATGTGTTAATAAAAGGCATATATTTTACTATATCACATTTTTACATATTTTGATATTTTAATATAATTGGCTTCTTTGTAATGCAGTCTCTGTTTTTGCTTTATCATTTAAAAGCATTACTTCGAAAAGAGGTGTATAGCCTTCATTAGACTGAGAAAGGATCTATGGCAGAAAAACTTGGTTAGGAGCAGCTGCCTGTTCACCCCACCTGTCTTCATATCTCCGAAAAAGCTCCCTCAGTGGTCACTAATCACCTTTACCCAATGTCCTCAGTCATTCTGCAGTGTATCTGTATCATTTGGTGCCGTCAGTTACTTTTTGTTACTCCTTCCTCTTTTGCCTTTATTATCAAATCCTTACTGGACCCATTGGCTCATCTTAGAAAATATCTCATATTTGTTTCTTTTTTTCTGCATAACTTTAGATACCAGTTACCTTTTGCTTAGACCATTATGTATTATAATACCTTCCTAACTTGTCTTTGAGTTTCTTGCCCCCTCAAACCTAGTAGAGCTGGAATTACCATCCTAAAATGTAGTTAGAAACACATCATTCACATTCTCAGGAACTTTCAGTGGTTCCCCGTTACCTTTCTTTTTTTTAAATCAATAATTCTAATTTTATATTAGTTTTATATTTAATTTTATATTGATTTAATTTATATATAAATTATTATTTATTTTATTATTATTAATTTAATTTATATATTTTTATATTTTTAATTTTATATTAATTTTATATTTAATTTTATATTGATTTAATTACCTTTCTAAAATGTGGGTAGAAATACACTATTCCCTTTTTCAGAAACCTTCAGTAGTTTCCCAATAACAAAGTTGAATCACTAGTATGGCATTCAAGACTTTCCATGAACTAAGTACATCCTAACTTTCTAGCCTCTTCTACAGCAGTATTAATCTCACAGTATTCTGTATATTTTATCATCTTTCACGTCTCTGGGCCTTTGATCCTGTTTTCTCTGGGCAAAAATCCTTTCTTTCCCTACCTTACCCCACTCCCCATCTTGCCCTACCACAGACACATACACCATAGTATATATAGGAATGTGTCATCATCATTCTGTTCTCAGCTTATATGTTGCCTCTCAGAACCTTCTCCAATCTGAGCCAATGTCTTTGTCTCTTGTATTCTATGATATATCACTATTAATAGCATTAATTTTGCATGCGCTATATTTTATAGGTATTCATCTATTTGGTTTCTTTAGTAAATTTATATTCCTTAGGGTAGCAACCGTATTCATGTTTGTACCCTCTCTCATCTTCTTCACTCAATGTCACTTTCTCCTAGTAGGCATTCAAATAAATGTTTCTTGAGTGAATACATGAATTCATTGAATACTGGCTTAACCTCTGATTTAGCTTGATTGGGTGACCATGGACCAGGCTGCTGTTGTCCTGCGTTTCATCAGAGTATTACTTTTAAAATGTATTAGTTGTACACATTTTAAAATAGAATTTGATCACCTAGCTAACATCTGTAAAAATGCCATAAGAACTAAATTACTCTGTATTTAATGATATTACTATCAAGAAAATAGATTCCTAAGTCATAGGATTTTTTTCCATAAAAGATTTGTTAAATAACAATTATTTAAAGGAGAAAATTATTATGGCTTTAATTTTTTGATAGTAACTTACAGATCTTAAGAGAAAGCTAATTCTGAAAAGTATACTAATTTATTACTTTATTAAAAGTTAATGAGATTATGAGAGAGGTGGGAGCCGATGGCTGATCTTTGTCTACAGCCATTTATTTTAAAATAATTTTGCACAGTCCACCATCTATATTGTTAAACTGAAAGAAGTATTTTCTCATTTTCCATAAGAAAAACCTTTGTTTCCTTTCAGGTGCTTGTTATAATTTCTTCTAATTTTACTTCCATTTTCTCCCACATCCCTTCACTTCTGCCCATCATCAGATCAATGTATTTCTTCTAAATTACTGATTCCCAGCCATTTTTATACTCATGTTCCTTACTAAGCTTTCTACCATTATCTTCCTTTTTGAATATTTTTTCCTCCAGTTTTATCAAGATATAATTGAGATAAAGCATTGTATATATTTAAGGTGCACAGCATAGAGATTCAACTTACATACATCAAGAAATGCTTATCACAGGGCTTCCCTGGTGGCGCACTGGTTGAGAGTCCGCCTGCTGATGCAGGGGACACGGGTTTGTGCCCCGGTCCGGGAAGATCCCACATGCCGCGGAGCGGCTGGGCCCGTGAGCCATGGCTGCTGAGCCTACGCGTCATGCTTATCACAGTAAGTTTAGTGAACATCCATTATCTCATATATATACAAAATTTAAATAATAGAAAAAAAAATCTTTCCTTGTGATGAGAACTCTTAGCATTTACTCTCTTAACAACTTTCACACATAATGTACCGCAGTGTTCATTATCTGTATCATGTTGTACATATTACATCCCTAGTACTTATTTCTCTTATAACTGGGAGTCTGTGCCTTTTGACCACCTTCATCCAATTCCCCCTCCCCCCACCCCCTGCCTCTAGTAACCACAAATCTGATCTCTTTCTATTTTTTGTTTGTTTGTTCTTGAAGTATAATTGACCTACAACACAATGTTAGTTCCTGTTACACAACATTGTGATTTGATATTTCTGTACTTTTCAAAACAATCACCAGGGTAAGTCTAGTTACGATGTGTCACCATACAAAGATACTCATAGTTATTGATACTATTGTCTTCTAATTATCCTTATTAGCCAAAGTATTCCATGACACTTAAATCTTGAGTAGTTTTTCTTACAAAAAAGGATAGGTATGTTTGGCTTTTCCAAACTAAATGTCATTCCCCTTTCCCTCTGAGAAACATTGTTCTAAATTATTTTATTAATTTAACAAAATTCATGTTCTGAGATCAGGAACAAAGGCAGAACTTTAGAATTATATTAATGAGAACATAAAATAATGAAAATCAGGTTTTCTATTGTTTTGTACTGAAATTTCACTTTTAGTATAAACTTTTAAGATAATAATATTTACTATGTGCCAAACACTGTTCTAAGTTATTATATATATTACAACCCTGTGCTGTTGGTGTTGTTATTATCCCCATTTTATGGTTGAAGAAACTGAAACACAGCAGTTGTGTAATTTGTCCAGAATATTTGGATACTTTTTGGGAGAGGGTGTGTTGTGGTGTTGGTTCTTATATCCATAAATTATAAGATCTCTCTCTTGCTCATCCTCTTTTCTTTGGACCCCATGCTGGAGTAAACTCGACCCTAGAACTTATAGTAAGGGGTCAGGTACACGTTTCAGAATACCAGTAAATCAGGTATTAGAAATAGTGCTGCCTGTATAGGAACACATGGCCCAGTCTAGTCTAATTCCCTTTGGTACGTGGGGCAATTGGTTTGTCATTGAGAAAAAGTTTGGATGGAATAGCATACCCCTTTTCTAACATCAGCAAAATAGTAGTACCCAAATGTGGCAAAGCAAATAAAGAAAATGACAAGCCAGTCTTATGATTATTGATGTAAAAATTCCTAAGGAAATACCAGCATATACAGTATAATCCTCCAAAATGTAATAATGTTTCTATATTAGTAAATCTGTTAATATAGTTCACAATATTAGTAACTCAAAGAAGAAATTATGATCATCTTAATATATCATTTTAATGCAATACACATTTTTAATTTTTTTCTTAAATCTTTCATGTAGGAGGAAAACATTTCTATAAGTGACTTTTTAAAGGCTACATATTATGTGGTGTGTAAATGTATAGTTGTATATAAACTTATAATTACATACAGCTAACACTTACTGAGTGCGTACTGTGTGCCTGGCACTGTTCCAGGTGTCAAGTGTTTTACATGTATTAGCTCATTAAATTTCAAAACAACTATTTATATGTGTGTGTGTGTGTGTGTATTTTATTTCTTAACAGATGAGGCATGAGGAGGTAAATTTGCCCAACGTGATAGATGTATATGTTTTATATGTATATGTATGTACAACCTAACCAGCCATCAATATAATGCTTAATAATAAAACACTAGACGCATTCCCATTAATATCAGGAATGACACAAAATAACCATTGTTAACATTACAATGTAATTAGACAGAAGTATGAAGCAAGAGATGTAAAAATTGGTAAGGAAGAGGCAATCGGATGATTTTACATTATTATATATGCCTGGAAAACCCAAGAGCCTCAGTGAAACACTAATAGAAACATTGAGTTCACTGAGATACCTAGTTCACTAAAGTTTTATGTACAAGAATAAAAATAATTATTTTTTAGACACCAACAATAACTAGTTAGAAAATATAAGGGAAGAAAAAAACCTCCATTCACAGCAAGAACAAAAGCAAAATATTTTAAGACAAGTTTAAAAAGAAATTTATAAGCCCCCTACAAAGAAATCTAGGAACTGTATTGAAAGAGGAAATTTCAATCAATTATTCTTGATTAAACAATATAGTAAATCAGTAGTGCTTTTTAAACAAGGATTACTACAACACAATCTCCATCAAACTCCCAACAGCAGCTTTTCTATTAAAACTTGTCAAACTAATTCTTAAGTAGCTGGAAGCATATACATGCAAAAGATTCTTGTATGATTCCCACGCTGTGTAAAGTTTTGAGGTGCGTTGCCCTTCAAAGCTCTGCATGACATGGCTGGTCTTGACCTTGACCTTTCTGACCTCATTTGCTGACTCCTCCCCTTTCTCACCTGCCACCAGACATACTGGCCACCTTGCTGTCCTGTGGACGCTCTCATCTCTGGGCTTTGTACTTAACCCTCCTTCCTCCTGTTACATATTCCTTTCACTTCATTTAGGTATCTGCACAAATACCACCCTATCATAAAGGCCTTCCCTGATTAAAAGTTTCTCTATAGCATTTACCATCACCTGACGTGTATTTACTGTTTACATTCTCTCCCTTTGTGAGTTTGGTGAGAGAAGAGACTGGCTTTGTTCTTGCTGCATCCCCAGCACCTGGCACCTAGGAGGTGCCCGTTTGCTGAATGAAACTGGCATTAAAAATTACAGGTAAGATCACTAAGAGTTCTGAAGAGAGGATGAAATTACAGTCAATCTTGTTTTTCTTGAACAGTTTACCCTTGAACATCACAGGCATTAGGGGCACCGACCCTCTGTGCAGTCAGAAATCCGAGTATAACTTCACAGTTGGCCCTCCTTATCCAGGGTTCTGCATCCCCAGATCACCAGCCAAGAATCACATAGTCCTTATGTATCTGTTGAAATAAATCCACATTTAACTGGACCCATGCAGTTCAAACCCACTGTTGTTCAAGGGGCAACTGTAGTTATGTTCTATGAAGTCACTGCAAATACTGAACCATTGCTTCTAGAGGAAATACGGGATTAGGTTCCTGCAAGCCTCCGGTCAGAACATTTTCATGGACCAATCAATACATAACCTTGTTGTACATGCAGTACTGTTTAGAGACACTTTATTAAATATGTACTGTTGATTCATTAACACTGAACAGCCAACAGCACTGTAACTCATGCCTGAACAAAGCTTACCTAACACGCATATTTCTCCACAAGGCACATCACAGACTTCTTGCACTTAGATAACACTTCAGCACTAGACTTGGGGGCCATTTAAACAGCAAATTCACCAACAGAAAGCACAAAAATGCAAAAATCATAGCACTAACAAGCCCTTTTTAAGACACTTGTTTGAGCATGAGCGCTTTGTTCAGCCTCCGCTGGAATGCCTGTCTGGCAACTCAGATGTTCCGCCTCTCTGCACATGCACGTTGCCGTGGGGCGACTAAAGCAACGCGAGGATTTATTGGGGTTACAAATAAATTTTAGTGAGTAGGCAAATTTGCAAGTACAGAATCCACAGATAACAGGGACCAACTATACATCATTTTTTCAATAAATATTTACTGTGTTTCTGCTATGTGCCATGCTCCCAGAGTTATTTACCACTCAGACATTTATCAAGTCCTAACCTTATGCCAGGCCCTGTGCAAAACTCAAATAATCCAAAGATAGGTTTAACAGTGTTCCGGGGAAGGTTTCATGGCAGAGTTGGGGTTTTAGCTGAATCTTCAATACTAATAGATAAGATTTTAACCTGTGAAACTATGGAGAAAGTTATTTTAGAAGAAAGAATCTTAAACTTGGCTATACATTAGAATCACCCAGACCAAAAAATAAATAAATAAATAAACATCTCTAGGGATGAAACTCTTACACCAGTATATTTTAAATCTCCCCAGAGGATTCCAGTGTGCAATCAAATTAAGAGAACCACTGCTTTAAATCCTTGTGTTTGGCTGGAGTGTAGGTTATGTGAAGGGATGTAAAGAACAAATAAATCTGGAAAAGAGATTTTGGCCCAGTTATTGGAATGCTATCATTTAGCACATATTTATTAAGCACCTGCTGTTTGCCAGGCACTCTGCTAGTTGCTGGAGATACAGCAGAAAACAAAACACAAGAATCTCTGGCCTGTTAGAGTTTATAGTTGAATTGTTTTGGCAGCTGTGTAGGATGATTCATAGTCTAGATTTAACTTATAGTATATGATGATTTGCATTTAGAAGGAAACTTATCCTAAATGCTCAGAATTCTAAATTTAATGTCTAAATTACTATATCATCCTCTGATATGAATAGAACTCTGTAAAGAAAAATTGTGTTGTGAACTTCAGTGCTAATTTGACTGAGCGTTTTCTAACACAACCATTCGTTTTGTTAGCCTCTCAAAGTTTTTCAGTTTCTTGCACACTGGGACAATTGTCTAAACCAGTAGAATGAGGACCATTGGAAGTACTAACTCAAGCATTTCATTTTCTCATCTTATAGGAGCTGGTATGTAAGGAACTATTATCTGCCTTGATTATTAGCAAGAATTTATACTTAGATCAAACTTATAATTAACAAAGAACTTTTATTGGGTCATAATTTGCTGTATACCATGTTTTATATATTTTTTCTTGAGTTCCTTTACATTTAATGTACCATTAAACTGTCTTCTAGACCATTAGCAAGAACAGAGACCTCTAATAATAGAGTCCTCTTTTAATTCTGTCTGATACAATTATTCTTTATAGCCTGAATCTGTCAATTTCACTTAAACTTTTGGTCAAGAAGTTTTGAGTTAGTTTGCTAAATAGAGTTATTTAATACCCAAAGAATAAGACACGCACCGTCCTCAGCTGGTACACTCAGCCTGAGATGAAATGATGTGCACACATGAGCACGTGCAGGTGGGAAGTGAGGGGTGCTGTCAGGAGTGAGAGGTACAGTGCTGTGGCATCAAAAGGAGAGATGGGTTGAGTTCTGACTAGGATTGGAGAATGATGTTGTAAATCTTATCATTATTGTCAGAGACAAAGTGCCATTTAACTACCATCCAGCTGTGTTATAATGCAGAGAATGTGTCTTACATATATTTTATATAAAATTACACAGTTTGGGGGCTTCCCTGGTAGCGCAGTTGTTGAGAGTCCGCTTGCCGATGCAGGGGACACGGGTTCGTGCCCCGGTCCGGGAAGATCCCACATGCCGCGGAGCGGCTGGGCCCGTGAGCCATGGCTGCTGAGCCTGCGCGTCCGGTGCCTGTGCTCCACAGCGGGAGAGGCCACAACAGTGAGAGGCCCGCGTACCAAAAAAAAAAAAAAAAATTACATAGGTTTGGTCAGCTTTTCCTCAGTTTCAGTTGTACTTAATATAACTGTGTTTTGTTAACGTGGATGATATCATGTGCTTTATACTTCAAGATCATCTATGTCCTTTTTTCCTCACGAATTTTCTCTATCCTGCTCTGCCACACATTAGCTGCTTTAGCAACCTAGTACATCAGCATTTTGGATGTCATTTGTATTCTCTGAGCTTTTCTAAAATTTCTCATTCCTTGAGTATTTACAAGTTTTATAGGAATTGAAGATCATCTTTTTAAAAGACTTGCTTGTTTATTTGAACTTTTAAAAATACTAAATGGGGGGAATTTCCTGGCAGTCCACTGGTTAGGACTTGACACTTTCACTGCTGTCCGCCCCCATTTGATCCCTGGTCAGGGAACTTAAATCCCGCAAGCTGCCAAAAAAACAAAACAAAACAAAAAAAATACTAAATGGGAAGCTAATCATTGGGAAATATTTGAAAATATAACCCAAATAATGATATGGGTTATATTGTCACTTAAAGTGACTATAGAAAAGTTTCTTTGTTTTTAGACCACTGAGAAGAAATACTGTTTTTGTGGATTTCCTATTTGCCTCTGAACCCTGGAGAGAATTGAAAGATATCTGCTCTTAGTGATATGACACTGAAATATTTTTATAATCAAACCCTAAGAATTTTGACTTGAAGAAGCATTATCTTCTTTCTTTGTCACAGAATTGTTTTTTTTTAACTTTATCCCTTTATATGTATTTTTAAAGTGGTCTGTTAATTTATGTAAGTCTTTTCATCACCTTTTTTTCCCTTAATAGTTCTTTATATCAAAACATTATTATTGAATATTGTTTGAGGGGGTCTTTTTCCTGCCTTAGTTCTGAACCAATTGAGAAATAAACAAAGGAGCCAGGTAGATGGACATCAAAATAGCAGCTCTTTTTTTGATGGAGCTATTGCAGAACATGACTTAAGAGCACAGCATAAAGGACTTAGCAACATTGAACCCCCAAATTAGAAAGATGTAGTCATCCAATCTCAGGCAGTGCTGGAGAGCAAAGCAACTGTGTGCTGTCTGCACCTGGGCAGATCCCAAGAGAAATGTGCAGAGGAAGGGGCTGCACTTTGCTTACACAACTCCTCTTCCCAGACTTACCCCTCAGATAAGTCATCCTCAAGTGAGGTGGAAGAGGCCAGAGCATTACTCCTAGGGATGCCACTCTAGTTAGAAAACTGAAGCCAGAGAAGGAGACTGCAGGAAAAGACCTCTCATCCCTGCCAGGCTTGAGCTCACTCAATTTCACAGCTGCCTTGGATGTTGAAAGCAGCCCCAGTGGCAGAGCCAGGGCTACAGGAACATTGCAAATCACTGCAGGCTCTTTGATAAGCTCACCCTGTCACAAAGAGAAATAAAAACTAGCAGGGAGCATTTTGTTCATGTGAATGCCTGCATTCAAATTTGCTGGAGCCTGTTTTTTACTGGTCCTGTTTTTCACTCAGATGTCTTCTAGATAGCAACACACTGCTGGGTACCATATAGGCTTTTTTTGCTGTGTGGATTATCAAAGATTAAATCGATCTGCCCTCAAGAAGCTTACAGCCTGGTTCATAAATAAGTGCTATATTGTGCAGTACAGACTATTAATGTTATAGAAGTTCAATAAAAACTAGACTGGTCCAAGAAGATTTTTATGGAAAAATAAGCCTTGAGCTGGGCTTAGAACAACAGATATGATCTGGGTAGGTGAGGCTGTGCAAGAGAACACTTGGGTGAAGGGACAGTTGTTTCAGCATCTGGGACTTCACTTTTGCTATTCCTTCACCTTAATTGAAGTGGAAAATAAGAATACAGGGCTAGAGGAGCCCCGGTTGTAAGAATCTTGAAAACAAAGCAGAGGACCAGAGATGTGATCTGCTGAGATTTTTTTTAAACCTAAGCGTGGTGTCATTGAAAATTACTTTGGCAGGGATGTACTTAGGGGGTATTCAAGGAAGGAGATAAATTAAGAAATGAAAGTAATCTAAGCCTAAGGAAATGAAATATATTAAAGCTCTCATGCCCATCTGATTTACTAAATATAATAACTTTCAGAGGTTAGAGTTAGTGCCTGATTGATTTTGCTCCATTCTTTTACACCATGTGTATAAATTAGGTTTTTGGTTGTTTTTTTTTAATCAAAAATAATGAGAGCTTTTGGTTAAAAATTTAACCTTTCAATCTCCTGGGGACAATTGGGAAAATTTGATTTAATAATCTTACTTCTATGGAGGTGTTTTAGGATGAAAAGAATTGTAGATTGAAGGAGAACGAATCCATATTAGGAGAAAGGTACCGGGAAAATTTGATTTAATGATCTTACTTCTATGGAGGTGTTTTAGGATGAAAAG